CAGGGAAAATGATTTTGAGAACTCTGCGATGTCTTTGCTTTATACAAAAATAATCCAGTTTGGTCACTTTAAAAAAATGGATAGACAAGATGTTCTTTTCGATCATATGCCAGACAAACATTGACAAATTCTTGTACAGTTTAAGATTATTCCTGAAAGTCAAATGGTCGGGGTTTTAAGCCGGATTTGTTTAGCAAAATTGAGTTAGGACAGCATAAAGAAAAAAATGTCACGAACACAGCGATTTCTTCCAAACCATTTTTCTTTGTTTTTACACGTATTGTATAATTGCATCAATGCCAAAACAGAGCACACTATATTACAGTCATGTCTATCGTATCGGAACTAACGTATCTTAATTTTCTCAGTGAATGAATCATCATAAACTTCATTTATGTCATCCAACATAAAAAAAAAATCAGCTATTTTCGACGGCAAATTGAATTTTTATTTTATTGCTTCTTCTACAGAATATCTCCAGAAGAGGTCCAGATTCATTTTTTTGGACTCTTCACCAGAAGACATTCTGGAGATGTACAGAAGAGACCAATAAAACACGCCCCAAGTTATGTCGTTTCAATTTTTTTTAATATAAAGATGGTGCATGCTTTCTTGTCATTTGTCTTTTCGTCAGTAGTTTTTCTGTGTTTTTTCTGTCATGTATTGTTTAGTTGGTTTCTTTTCTACTTATAAATGTGGATTGTTTTGTATTTTTGTGCATTCCCCCTTTTCTTAATGTAAATTTGTGTAATTCAGCAATTTCGATTGTTTAATTGTAGGTTGTTTTTTTGTTCCATTCACGTGACTTTCCATTGTGTAGCACTTAAAAAGTATTTCAATCAACAGGGAAAATATGTCAGAGAAACATTTCATTGCAGCTACTTCTCTCATGATACACATAAATACACTTTTCCAAGGCAATCAATCATATGTAATAGTTGTGTCAATCAATACTTTCATTGCAGGAGGACCATACTTGAAAGTTGAATTATATTGTCCCTACTTGTTGTCTAATAAATGCCCTGTATTTACTGTAAGACTAACTTTAGTTAGTATGGGAAAACCTGATTTAAGTATTAGTTATTTATAGGCTTTGAACTGGCTTCAGTAAATATGAGTAATCTTAGATCGCCATTTTGTGTCGTTTGTCTTTATATATGTTATTTGTGTTTTATTATACTTCACGTTAAAATGCCAAATACGAGGGTGTTAATTTACTCTATTACTCTTCATGGAGACGCTTGATCAAGTGTGCGCTTTATCAAATACGGATGGGTGTTATGTACAAGACGTCATAGTTTATTACTTTGAAAATGAAATTTAATCGACAGTAATAACAGAATATTCAGTATAATAAATTAAATAACACATATCTGAGAGGGTGATCGAGCAGATTGTTACCCCTCGAAAAGACACGTTTTCTCGGGGCAACAATCTGCTCTATCACCCTCTCAGCTATGTGTTATTTATATATTGTCATTCGTGTCAATCTGAAGCATCAAGCCATTTCTAACTGGTTTTTTTTACAATTAATTCTTATGTGGGGCTGTTTATAACCAGTCCACTGTCTCATGTTAAGAGAGGGATGATCGGTCACACACACGTTCAACATTACCACATTATTTATGTGACTGTCACAGGTCAGAAGCCTGTAATTAAATGGTTGTTTGTATTTGCTGTCATATTTGTTTGTCATTATAATTGTTTTTGTCAGAAATGAGGTCCTTCGTTTTCTCGATTTCACATTTTGTCATGTCTGATCATGTCTGCCCTTTTATAGCGGACGATACGGTATGGGTTTTACTAATTGCTGAGTGGGCATGGTGGGAAATATGTCAAACAGAAGTCAAACAGACATTGATAATTTGAAGATAGGTAGTTGTAAATTGAAATGTTAAATGGATCAAGTACATTGAAAAATACTATATCATGGTATTAAGGAATGATCAGATTAACTTTCACTTAAAATATTAGGCATCCTAGCTGCTGGTGCTGTACACCATTAAAGATTTGAGAATGCCATCAGTTCAAACAGAATTATTTTAATAGTACCACGGTACCATCAATGTTGTATCAGACGATAAAGTTTGAACTTTCGCAACCAAAGGGAGATGAAAAACATTTTCCATAAAGCGTACATGGGTCATTTTAAAAAAATGTCGAATTTCGAAATTGCAAAATTGATTTAAAGTTACTTATTCAAACAACCCTCGTCATAAGCAAATCAAAACAAACAGTACTTATAGAACAATATATAAAAAGATGCAATCTTGATAATGTCATACAAGAATATATTGAAACATTTTTTGATAGGTAGTGCAATATTTTGTCTCTTATGTTACTATGTTCAAAAGAAATTTCGGGTTATTTAGAAAAGGTTTCGATAACATTTTAAGCTTGTTTTTCGTAGCCAATAAGATGGTTTGAAAGAGTAAAAACTTCTATATATATTCATTCTGTGAAATAATAGATTATTTGCCAATTTTCCATGTTGTACTGAAAAATGCCTCTAAAAATTGGTATTCAAAGGTTATAAAAATAACCATCAGTAATGCAAGTCTAAGATAGCAATTCATAATGTTCAGCATTTGTTCTCTCTTTCAAATAAACCCAACATCAAGTTGCACGTTGGTTTACTTTTGTCTTTATTTTATTGGTAACAGGAACGTACGTTAATGATGTATCACTATATTAAGTTCTATCTATCTATATATATTCATTCTGTGAAATAATAGATTATTTGCCAATTTTCCATGTTGTACTGAAAAATGCCTCTAAAAATTGGTATTCAAAGGTTATAAAAATAACCACCAGTAATGCAAGTCTTAGATAGCAATTCATAATGTTCAGCATTTGTTCTCTCTTTCAAATAAACCCAACATCAAGTTGCACGTTGGTTTACTTTTGTCTTTATTTTATTGGTAACAGGAACGTACGTTAATGATATATCACTATATTAAGTTCTATCCTGTTACCTTTTTGTCTATCCTGTTACCGGTAGCAGTATTGCACCTGCAAATGCTAAATTGCGAAGATTAAGACGTTATAACCTTTAGATGAGTTCAAACAACGAAACATTTCATTATGTGTGCAACTATATATGTTATTATAAACTTTGTAAAGACGTTTCTGTCTACTATTGTCTATCCTGTTACTGTAACCATAGCAACCATAGTAACAGGATAGACATAACAGGATAGACAAATTTCTTCATTTTTTTAATGCTGTTGTGAAATAACTACTCCCTTTGATGAAGTGATAATGTTTTACTGTTGTGATTTTGGTTTCCAACACGTTATTGCACTTTTTGCAAGTATAATATTGGTGTAATTAATCAATATGTTGGTAACAGCATAGACATGACAAAATAGTACCAACTATTTTTTTTCACTAAATGTCTTCAAATTTCTTTTCTCTACACTGTTATACAAGAAACGTGCTGTGTTACTGAAATGTTTAGGTTACTTTGCGCTTTTGAAATCAACACGGACTAGTTCAATATTCATAGGGAGACAAATTTAACGGCTGATTTAAGTAGCGGTAACAGGATGGACATGAACTTCATGTACGCTGATTGAATTTAGTTTGTAGAAAAAATGTTACATATAATAATAAAGAAGCTACAATTTTTCGTTAGAGTTATTATTTACGTTCTATAAAAGTCCCTTTTGCAGATATCAAGGCGATCAGAAAATAGGAAAAAAAATCATTTAAAATGTGTTACTCGGACACTGTACGCACATAAATTACACAAAAATCGGACTTAAATATATTTTAATCTTATCAAAATAGATATAAATCGTGTTTATTATTAATTTTCTGACTCATAAATCCTTCAAACTTTCATTTAAACACTTACAACTGCATTTTCCATTAGAAATAACAATTTTAGCATGGGTGTACTGAAAATTCGACATTTTTTTTAAAATGACCCACATATGAATAAACGACTTGCTCTTTCAAGTGCAACAGTTCATCGACAGTGTGTCAAAAGTCGTTGATCTGTAATAACGAGCTATGTCACGTGTGTTTCGACCATGAGGATGTTTTTGTTATTCAGCAGAAAAGGTAAAACAACTTATTTCTTCAGGTTTCTCCTTTTTCTACAAATTATGTCAAATAGTAACAGTTTTTATATTATTTTTTTTACGTGAATCATTGCATATGATTTCAAAATTTTATTTTTATCACATTTCAATCAAAATGCTGCTTATGTTGCATGTGTTATTTTATTTTATTATGCATGCATCTGTTTTACGGAAATGGTCGAGAAAGCACGAAACAATATATTGACATTATTTCACGCTTAATGATCCTTAATGAAACATGTGTAGAAATAGATACTGGTTTTTGTAACATATGTATATGCTCTTCCTTTGGTCATATATAATATGGCACGACTATTTATTTGACTATTGATTCAGTTGGCATGTATTGTTTGTTTGTTCTCTTATGTCAATGTACTGATTTTGACGAGGCGATCGTCATCTGCTCTTCTGGCTAAAATAATAACAACCATGATATCTGTATATTTTATACATATTTTTTATATATTTAATATAGATTTCACCACAGAAATATAATACAATACTAGAACAATGTATTATAAGTCTCTGATTTTACTAAATTAGTAATTTAGGAAGGTGGTTTTTCGGCAATTTTGCCTTATGTTATAGAAAAGCATTTATATAATGACATTTACACCAAGATGTCGTTAAATGAAATTAGATACCCTGCATTTATCATGCTTTTTAATTACATATGGTCAAATCGCTGAAGACGTACCCCCTCCCAAATTATTAAAAACTATCATTCTGCATTGGCAATAATATCTTGGTGTAAATTAGGTACACCCATTCGGGATAACGCCCTCAAGGTTATAATACATGTATACATAAGATCTACGTATGACTATAGCAATTCAAAACTGTTAAGTATAAACTCATTTTATAATTACCCACAATTCAGTTGTAATAATTGGTATTGAAATACACAAGCTATTTAAACCTTTGTATCTTATTATCTTTCACAGTTCAATAGACTTCGATATAGTTTTAACTGTAAACAAAATCGTTCTATTTAACTGCGATGGAACCCGTTGACAGAAGACCATTCGTCCAAGCTTTGTCTGAAGATAAAAGAAAACAGGTAGAGTTTTATGACATTTTATCATTTGATTGTCACTTTGGTATCTTTCGCCTTTCTTTATTATGTTTATAAACACTACAGTCATTGTATATGGTTTGACCAAGGCGAGACCTTCTCGGCCATGGGATTATTACTATTGATCGATCACCTAAGACGTAGAATAAGTCTATTTTGAGTTCTAATTACTATTTTTAAACACCACCATATATATTAATACGAGACCGAAATCATTATACTTATAGTAAATTTTGTATTTCATTTCACATATAAGTTATTTATTTCAATTTGTATCTTTCCAATGGAGAAAAAAGACAAGACGTCGACAGCTACATAACGTGATAATCATTTGATACGACAAAGTTACCCTTTGTTCGCTCTTTGCTGCAACAGGAGTATCGGAACCAGGGATACGTTATATATAGTATCTACATAAACATCTACAAACCTTATTTTACCTTGTTTAAAAGCATATAAACCAAACTTGTATTCCTGCAATGAGGATGGGGAAGCGAAGTTCAGTGGTCAAAAGAGGGTGGAATCAACATGATATGATAAAACAATTATGATAATGATGATATTGAAATATTATTTTAATTATGAATTTAGAATAATGTTTTGGCGGACGGTGCAATTCGGACCATTTGCACGAACCACGACGAGTAACTGTACTTCGACACAACCCCGTAAAAAAACAACAACAAAAAAAAAACGACGAGCGAACGCTAACAATAACTTGGTTTACAACTACTAGTATACAATCTTCTTTCAGGTATGCAGCATTCTTCAGGACCTAATCTTTACTGAGGAACATATGCAGAAACTTATGTTGACTTTTGAAGAACAGATAAATTATGCAAACAATCCGAATGAAACTGAACAAAAAAAATCTGACCTTTGGTGGGGCTACACATTTGTCAGTGGTGTTTTACAAGGCAATGGTAAGAATTCATGTAAACACCATACATATCCTTGATAATGTAGAAATGTGGGTACATGCCAATGAAAAAGCGAGCCTGGAAGAGCTTCTAGATCTTTAAGTAAAGAGAAATCAACCCTAAATTACGACACAAACAATATAAAAACATCTAGGGTTCAACATGTTAAACTATCGGAAGAAAGTAGTTATAAAACTGCAAAACTATATCAAGAAAAATATAAAGTAAAGGGGTTAAACAGGTTTTATTCAATAATAGCAAAAGGTAGCCACAGTCTGTAAAATTTAATATAATATGTTTGATTGTTTAACTTTACGACTGAATGTTTCTCAGTATAATTTTACAAGCATTGTTGTCCAAAGCATCTAAATCGTTATCTCTTTACTTTTGTAAAGAAGCAAATTCTGAATACAATAGAACAAATTTAGACTTTCTTCTACGTACACCTAATTATTATTGTCTTGTAACTACAACAATTTGTTAAAATCAATATTTAACTGCGTATAACAACACACTTGAAATTTCTTTTTATTTAATTATAGATAATCTCGTGTGATACACTCGATTAAATTATTCCAATTCAAGTTCGCATTTGCTCTTCTGAGTAGATTTATAACGGCACGGGGCATTTGCGCTTTTTCTACAGGACATTTGCGCTTTTTTACAGGACATTTGAGTTTTATAAACATACCATTTGAGTTATCATAGTTAAAATTAAAATATCATTAAATTGAATATTCAAAACACAGATCGCATTCATATATTAACTGAATTATTAAAAACTGTCATACAAGTGGGAGGTTTAGCTAGCTATAAAATCAAGTTTAACCCACCATTTACTTCTGAAAATGCCTGTACCAAGTCAGGAATATGGCAGTTGTTTTTCGCTTGTTCTGTTGATTGATAGCATTTGCTTTTGTTAGTTTTTATGGACTTTCTCTTTTTGAATTTGCCTTGGAGTTCTGTAATACTTTTCTTAATTTTCAGCTTGAAGTTAAAAAGAACCTACATATAACCATCGCACTTTTAAAAAATCTTGACATAATTAGTTGTCAAAAAAGAGATTAATTTTGATTATTCTCAAAGATAATTTTATATAATTGTTTCTTTTTAATAGAGATAAATGGTTATAAAATTTCACACCCCACACATGAAAGTCTTAATTACTAAATATTTCGACATCATGCTTTTGTCAAACGAATAAGACAACACTTCAAATGGGCGGATGGAAGAAAATTCCTTATAACAGCCAGCATGACTCTATATATAAACTATAATTGAAGAGTTCTTAGGACTTTCCAGAAAATAGAATGAACACAACAGGAATAACGTTTTCATTTTTAATCTACTAATGGTATTTAGCTGCTTAACAAATTAAGTGCAAAATCTTGAATCCATAATTTTTTTTTATCTATGTTTAACTTGAATAGCATTTTTGTGTATTTTAGTCTGTATGGGTTAACTTTCAATAGGTAAAAAGTGCAAATGTCCGGTCAATTTGGTTCATGCAGATGTATCAAAGTTTAAAGCGCAAATTTCTATTTCGTTTGAGCACAAGTGAGTGTCCTTTTGTGTTACGGATAGAAAAAGCACAAACGTCATGCGCCCATTTATATACTGTTCAAAAAGATATGACTCTGTTGTACCTGTAGTTATCAATTAAAGACGATAAATGCCAATTCAATCTTTTACAACACGAACGAGCGGACTTTCATTAGTAATTTTTAATGCCGTATTCATGTATTTCATTTAATACTATGTGAAAAGGTTTTTGTTTAATTGTATGATTTGGTACCGGTCGGTGATGGGTTTTACTTCATCAGATGTATCTTTTTGTAGAATGTAATTTTTGTGCCTGTCCCAAGTCAGGAGCCTCTGGCCTTTGTTAGTCTTGTATGTTTTTTTTTTAATTTTAGTTCATTTATATGTTTTGGAGTTTAGTATGACGTCCATTTTCACTAACTAGTACACATTTTTATTTAGGGGCCAGCTAAGGACCACCTCCGGGTGCGGGATTTTCTCGCTGCGTTGAAGACCCATTGGTGGCCTTCGTCTGTTATCTGCTCTTTGGCCGGGTTGTTGTCTCTTTGACATATTCCCCATTTCCATTCTCAATTTTATTACATGTAAATAGTTCATTCAAAATATATTCACCAGTTTGTCATTTCAATACCAAGGTGTTGTGATCTCCTTTCATTTAATGTCACTCAAATGGGACAGAACATGCACTATTCGGAATATACATTGGAACTGATCATATATGGTGCTAGATTATAACTGACCTCGAGCAAAGACCATCGATGGTATGATCTCTGTTTGATTCGAGGGTCAATTTTGGTAGTCACATGTAGTAATCTATTTTTTTCACATTCCAAAATAAGTATTGATAAGAATTAAAAAAAAAAACAGTTCGAATTCCGATATTCCCGACGTAGGTACAGAATATAACACACTCATTTCTTGGCAAAGGTTCATTGAATTGATATTTAATTTATTCAGTACTGCAATTCATACAAGCAATATGAAATTATATGGTTCAGTTTGTCTACGGTGAAAAATACGCTTTATTTCAAACTTCCTGTATATGATATGATTATTTTCTTTTTTTCTTCTTCAGAAAACGGTAGATATATAGGTTTAGATTTGGGAGGAACCCATTTTAGAATTATATTGGTAGAATTTGTAAACGGAGTAGCAGAAACAACTACGCAATATTTCAACATCCATAGACAGCTATTAACGGGACCATGTGAGAAGGTATTTAGACTATTATACAGGCCTTACCCAGATTTGGCTTTTTTGGGTTTTAGATTTAAAAGGGTCGATTCTGCTGTTGATGGAAGTTTCGTCAATGAGATGTGATCATTTTTTTTCAAATTGGGGCCTCGGTGGAATAGCGGTCGAAGTAGTCCATTTCTGTATCACTAGCCTGTCAACACTGAGGTTGTGATTTCGAGTCCCGTACGTAGCAGGTGCGTTCGACTCCAATCTTAAATGACCAAGATTGTCAGTTTCCTACCGAAGGTCGGTGGTTCTCTCCGGGCACTCCAGTTTCCTCCACCAATAAAAACTGGTCGCCACGAATTACCCAACAGTGCTGAAAATGGCGTTAAACATCAACCAATCAATAATTTTTCCGTAAATTAATTGTTCATAAAATATTAAGATCATTAGAAGCAAATACATTAAAAGTTTGTCTACCCCTGGTAAATGTGTAGATGTTTTTAGTCTGATATAGCACATCTTTTTGGAATTTCGTTTTTTCAGTGCTCTTCAGATTCGTTATTGATTTGGTTTTTAAAACGGTTTTTGTCCGAGCGCCACTGATGAGTCTGAAATAAATGAAACACGTGTCTGGTGTACTGAATCAATCTGTTCCGTTAGACTTGCTTGTCGCCTTACACGAGCTACAAACAAATCAATCGGAGCAAATTGAAAGGTCAGATTTAAATCAGATTAATGCCTTGCAGCTTCTTATTAAAAGTCTGACATCTTTGATAAGAATTTTTTGTAAGGAAAATCGTAAATATCTGAGGCAACTTACCGTATATTAAAAAAAACTATTCATAAGAAATTGAAATTCCGGGTTTGTTTTTGTTAATCATACAATTGGTTAGTTATTACTATTTTGCTTACAACAATTGTGCATTTTTATCTCGATATGCCTGAAAGTCCATGGCGTACAATGTAGTAAATATTATTTTTAAACCAATTCCGTCACCAGTATGGAATCAAGAGATGCCATATACTAGTATTAGGAGATCGGGTATGAGCGACAATGAGAAAACTGTGCATCAGATTCCAAATGCTGTGCATGAAAGCAATACGGCCTTCGACAATGAGCTAAACCCATAGCGTATAGGCAGCTATAAAAAAAACGAAATGCCAAAATGTGAAATAATTCAAACGAGAAAACCAACGACCTGATTAATGACAAAACAATTACCGAAAAATAAATATGACAGACATCAACCTTTGACAACTACTGAATTATCATTATTATCATTATTATTAAAACATAACAGAAATTTCAAAACCCAAACTGTATCACCCACTACCTTTAATACTTTGGCATCAACTTTTTTCAATGTACAATGCCTCTTTAGGACCATTACCTGACAAATAAAGTATATCATTCCCTATGTGGTTTGGCTTTTTGTGACGCCACATATGCTGTATTAGCATTTTTATTTACAAAAACAAATCTGATATATATTCATTATTATTCCAGGTGTTTGACCAAATAGCAACATCTATACAAACTTTCCTACATGACGAAGAAATAAGAAATGACAAACCTATCCCTCTAGGTAAGTCTCGTAAAATAAATAGTCATTCCCATCCTCCTTTTCCAGAATATCGTAATATCCCCTTCACACCTTTTATTTTTCTTCTTAGGGTCACGAGGGACTAATCCCGAATTTTCAAAAGGGTAGAAAAAAAAATCATAATGCACATTCTTTCCAAAGATTGTGGAATGGAAAAAAAAACAAATAAAAGAAGACAAAGGAAAAGAAAGACAAAAAAATTAACTGACCCTGATATTTTAATTGATCCCTGCTAGAAATGTTCGACTGCTGTCTTAATACCTACTTTTTATGCCGAAACAGATAAAACACATATATGTCTAATCTCTATGTTTAAATTTCAGGTTTTACATTTTCCTTTCCATCAGAACAGACTAGTCTAAAACATTGTACTCTGAAAACTTGGACTAAAGGTTTCCAGTGTACTACAGGTGTAGGTTTAGACCCTTGTATTCTCTTAGAGGATGCCATTCACAGACTTGGGGTAAACATTTATATTTTACAGTTATCATCCGGTCGAGGGTTAAGATTTTTGACAAAATATCAAAATGAAATAATCTGATGCTTCAAGCCACCCCGTTGAACGAAATAAAAATATGTCTTTGTTATCATCATCCACGAGCTCACACAGTATTATAAGCATTCAAGTTACAGTGGCCTTATAGATCTTGTAAAATAAAAATTATAAATTGGAGGGAAAAAATAAATCGAACAATTTGCTTCCAAAGTTTTTGACGATCACGCTAATGCAATATGCAGTTTTTAAGCTAGATCGTCCCTAAAATGATATGGTTAAATAATAACACTAATGGTACCTTTACTGCATCAGATGCGCATCTTAACAATAAATGCAGTTTCAGTGATGCTCGAGGATAAAATATATGCACATACAATTTATTACCAGAGAAAAAAATTTTAATCGTTATTCAATTAGGAGAAAAAATACGGAATACAAAAAAAAAACTTTCGGTGTTGGCGTGATGTAATAAATATAAATACTGACCATAACAAATAAATAACAAAAAATGTGTAATCGGAGGTAATATGCTATAAACATATCCTGTCAAAATATCGACATTTGATATCAAATATGACTAAATTTGTCTATTTATCAATACTGTGAAATTTCTCTAATTAAAACGACCTTTTACACTTCACCAACAAAACAAATCAAAGTACTGAAGTACTGAACATCGGATGACCGCAGGTTCTTGTGGATGGTCAAAAGCACATGTCACAGAAACAGATCACATCTCTATACCTGAAACTGAGGTTAATTTACAGAGATTTTTTTTTCTTATACAAGTTCGTGCTTGGATGATGAATAAATGACAGGAAATTCAACCTCACCGTAATAACTATTATATTGTAGTGATACAAATCAGTATACCTTAGACTATTATACTAATATAATAATAGTTCCAGAGAATACACTGGTTTGTTGTTATATATTATATTAATATTACGGTTGCATGTATATATAATTTTCATCTATTTGTATATCATACTATTCTACTATTATTATAGTGTAATGCAAGTGCATGGTGGACACTCTTCTGTAAAAAAAAAATCAAAGTCTTAAAGGCTGTAAAAGCAATTGCTGCCATGTTAATGTTTTGTGGACTTTTATTTTTCATCCATATATATAAGAATTAAACCTGACAGGACAGGAGTGTTGACTAGTGAGAAGCAAGACGGTTTTAACTTTATATCAATATAAGACTTTAGCAGGAAATCATTTTAAATATGTTTTATATTTTACAAGGAGACAACAAGTTTACCAGGCTAAAGTTGGGGTTAATTATACATGTGCTGAAACATATAACTGAAAAAAAAATCATTATGGATTATCCCCTGGTAGTGTTTGTAACTGGGCAATAATTTCCTTTATTGATTTAATTTTAACCATTTTCATAATTAATTTAAATTAACCATTCAGTTAAAACATTTCAACTTTCCAGACGCAAATGTTGAAAAACGGGACAGAAATAAAATATCTTACAAGACATAAACATGTAAAAAATAAATATATATTTCAGCTTACTAAAAATATTTTCATAATGTTACTTTGACATCATTTCTTAAAACTAAGTCCCAAACATAATTGCTCAGTTGACATGTGTCATCCTCATGCGATACGAGATAACTATAATTCTGATGCAATCCCGAAAAGGGGGGTCATCACAAATAAACATGACATTAAATTGTCATTATACGAACTAGAACAAACAGCTCTATGTTGCTTTGATATTTATCAATTTTCAGGAAAAATGTGAAATAAATTTCAGGTCCATTTCATTATAGTGCCTAACAAGATTGTGTGAGGTAGACGAAATTGACCTTAAAACGATCGTATTGTCTTTTGATGTCCAAAAATAGGCAGATCGGACATATAAGGACTTTATCTAATGACTACATAAATTTGGGATTTATTATTATTATAATATTCTAATGAAACTGAAAATTGTATTTTTTTTTAGGATAAACAACAATTTTACCTGGCGTAGCCGTTCATAAATGTTTTTCTGCATTTATCTTCGAAAAATGGCGTATTTAATGGAATAGAACGTTTATACAGTAAACTTTCTCTTTTTTCTCCGCAATAGGCTATCAAAAATAATTTATCTAATGTGTATGTGGAAAATTATGTGAAAAGATAAAAAGTGGCAATTGTTACCTTTCATACCTTAAGTTTCGTTCATCTGATTCTGACCAATGCTTATATACTAAATATCTATTTATATGCCGCTATTATTGTTGTTGTTACCAATTATGTAAATCAATTGTATCTGATTTTATGCCCTTTATGGGCCCTGTAATTTGGGAAATAAAAAAAAAATCTATTCATTGATAAAACGTAATATGGACTGGTCCAGTGTCCAGTTTGCAGGTCATTTAATTTTCTGTACACATTCATGCACGCTCTGATTTAATCAATATACTCGTACGAAAAAGCATGAACAGTTTGAAGGTAATCTATAGCTAATAATAACTTAATCCAATCAAATTGCATAAGATTCAATAACAATGTCAAGTCCACATCATAATGAGTAATAGAGGTAAACTAGGTAGGGAGAAAATGACAGATATTTCAAGTTAATATTTATGCAATAACGAATTAAAATTTGTCAACCAAAAGTTTTGCTACAATTTCAAAAACATGTCGTTCTGTATGGGTATAGTTTTCGGATCTTTCATTAGCGTATTTAAGGCTATAAAAAGTTTGGGCTTCAAAAGTTCACACAATTATTGACTTTATACAGAAAATTCGTCCTTGTAAAACATTTAATAGTTCACAAATGATACGCGATTCTAAAGTAAAATTATTTCTCAAAACACTGCAAAAAATTTCATTCATATTGATAAAGTGGTATCGTCATAAAGTGCGTTGAAATGAACAGTGGTATAGCAAACATCGAATTCCCTCACAAAATGTTATCACATACTACAGTAAGGGGAGTCAGTTAAGTTTGTCTATTTTTAGATACTCTACAGGTAATCTTTTGACACTACGTATACAACCTGTGTGACCTGTGTAGTGATTTTGATTTTACGATAAATTCATGAATGAACGATAATTTTATGAATGACCATGAGCACCTGACCTCTTTCTTAAACACCTATTAAACATATAAAACCGTATTTAATAAGGAGATAATTCAGTCAAATTTTCAGTACTAAATCAACAACTGAAATGATTCCATTTTTTGATGAAACATCGTACGAACGGAGAACGGAATCGCAGGTATAAAAATGCACTTTTTTCCCTTGTAATGACCGCGGATCTATAATTTTTATAGATCGGTTGAAATCCCAAAACTAATTTGCATAATGGAAATTTAGGCGATAGCAATACAGCGGAATGACCTCAAGGTCATCCTCTGTAAAAATCTTAAAGTCAATACTGACAAATCTCATCTCAAGTCCAATTTCCCATTTTTTTTCCCATCCAAATGAGACCTTAGATAAATCTTCTCCTTGTTTTGTATCATGTCTTCTCTTTGCATTATGCTGCGGTACTGTAGTACCTCTTATCGAACGTGATGGATGTTTCGGTTATATAACAAAAATTATACATTTTTTTTGTAAATATGATGTTAGGTGTTATATTTCACAGCCTCTTCATTTCATTTTAGGGACTATCACCTGCAGTCAACATAGTAGCAAGAATAGGAGATTCAACTGGAACTTTGATGGCATCAATCTATGCAGACAAACAATGCACAGCTAGTTTAATATTAGGTATGGCAATTTCGATTTACAGATTTAGAGGTATTGGCCACTTGATTGACTACATGCCGGTTGGATATTGGATATCGAATAACGAATCGGCTGCTAACTTCACATCCATACATATGAGTTCAAACAATTTTTCTTTCAATTTAGCAAGTATGATGGTTGCATTATTCAAAAACAAATGATTTAAAGTGATATGCATTTTGTTTGTTTTTGTTGGTTCTATGACGCCTAGGCTTAATTTGTTTGCAAACTGCCGCCTTAAACGCAGATTATTTAAGGTTTGGGTATATCGGAATAGTTATTTTGTTGGTATTTTTTCTCTCTCGAGGGAATAGGCTTGTATTGTAATAGTTGTTTTTATCTGTTCCGGGCTATGACGGTTATTTTGTATTCTACTGGTGTAAATACAGGATGGAAACATCATATTTTACACTTACAAGGGTTTTACAATTATGACAATACGAATAAACGAGGGTGTGGATGAGGGTTTACAGAAAAGAAAATAATGGGCAAAAAGTATTAAGAATAGAGAAAAATGGACCAAAAAATAAAGAATAGAGAATAATGATGTGCTTAAATAAAAAGAATAGAGAATAATGGGAAAAAAGTATAAAGAATAGTGAAAAATGGCCTAAAAAATTAAAGAAATGAAAGACAACCTAATCCAGACCCTCATAAACGGAATATAACCTCACTGACTGTATTTTACACCTATATAGATGGTAAAGGAGAAAGAGATCTTGGACGCATACTTTTTTTATAATCGGATATATTGGAGTTATAGCCGTTAGAGCATCAACCGTTACGTTTAAAAAAAACCAACATCATTGCACATATCTTACTCAACTTTGTATGATTTTGTATCTGATGAACTGGTTAAGTCACCCCTGTATAGTATTTATAAGGTTTGCTCGAGCAATTTTAATTAAAATGTTTTCACAATTGTCTTTTTGTGATCAATGATTCGTTATTTATTATAGAAATTAAGATGAAAATTTACCAATGCCAAAATCATATAACAAAAATTTTAGAGATTACATATTACTTAACACAATTATTTGAACTTCTATCAATACGTCAACTTGACTTATAATTAATTAAAAGAACTTTATTTACTACATTGTATCATTTAATTTCAAATTTAATCATGATCAACTAATTTGCTGCTCAGTTCAAAGTGGTGATACTAATTATATCACTGTAAAGAAGTAACAGAAGTATTGCTTGTAATCAACACGTTATGTTGTAGAATTTTCTATGCTCAATGTTTACACTTATGTGACAATTACTTACTTATAAAACTGTATAAACTAGATGGGACACTTTCTTATAGAACACAGTTGTGAATACATATCCTTCATTTACATAACATGTAGGTAACTTCGAGAGACAAAGGTGCATACTATAACGAAATACGCTTCCTCGGGTGTTTTTTACAGACAAAAATAAGCCTTTATTTGTTTACTTATCTAGTACCCCAGGGTACCTTCAGCTGGGACGGCCGTTCTTCGATACTTACAAGATTTATGACACACTTTTTTAATTCTCCATTGATTTAATTTAGACATTATTAAGAAACGAAGCTTCCATATCTCTTAGGCAAAGTTGAACTTAGATGGATTTGGCTATTCCTTTAAGGTATTTTCCATATATCTCAGGCTCAGTCGAACTTAGATGGATTTGGCTATTCCTTTAAGGCATTTTCCATATCTCTGAGGCAAAGTTGAACTTAGATGGATTTGGCTATTCCTTTAAGGTATTTGTTTGTCATCAGTGGCGGATCCAGAAATTTTCATAAGGGGGGGGGGGGGGGCAACTGACTACCATTAGAGGGGGCCCGTTCCAGTCCCACAAAAGGGGGGGGGGGAGGGGAGTGATCATATACCTCCTCACGTATTCGAGTAATTATACATCCTGGGATTTTATTTTTTATAGGGTTCAAGCGTTCCTGATGCAGGTAAATCGAGACAAGTGTTTTTTTTTTTATAGTGTTTAAACTTTCCTGATGCAAGTAAATCGAGACAAGTGCTTTTATTTTTTATAGGGTTTAAGCGTTCCTGATGCAGGTAAATCGAGACAAGTGCTTTTATTTTTTATAGGGTTTAAGCGTTCCTGATGCAGGTAAATCGAGACAAGTGCTTTTATTTTTATAGGGTGTTCCTGATGCAGGTAAATCGAGACAAGTGCTTTTATTTTTTATAGGGTTTAAGTGTTCCTGATGCAGGTAAATCGAGACAAGTGCTTTCGGACTCACAAAATTTATAAATTGTTATTTTCATTTATCTGTTTTCATTTGTTTAGGTACTGGATCAAATGCATGTATAGTGGAAGACAGAAAACGCTATAAAAGGGTTAGCACAGAGGATGCTCATTCAGACAAGGTGGGTTAATCTTGTCAATTTGTTTTTGTTTTATTTTCTTGTTTGGTTGCTGTTTCATCGTCACATACCCAACTTTTCCTTTATTCATATGATGTAAGGTTATGCACAGTGCTTGATGTATTTGAATGATAAAGAAAATGTTTGCCTTTTTGTTTACCATTTATTCACAAGTACCAAGAAAATCAAAATACTATTTAGCCATGTGTATTGGTTTGGATGACAATGTTGTCAATAATGTGTGACAGTGAGTAGTAATTATGGTAATAGGACCAGTTATATAATTTCAACATGAACAGTGGAGGACTTTCGGTTACAAACTGGTTTCAATAGATATAGGAAGATGTGGTATGAGTGCCAATGAGACAACTCTCCATCCAAGTTACAATTTATAAAAGTAAACCATTATAGGCCAAGGTACGGCCTTCAACACGGAGCATTGGCTCACACCGAACAGCAAGCTATAAAGGGCCCCAAAAAATTACTAGTGTAAAACATTTCAAACGAAAAATCAACGGTCTAATCTATATAAAAACGAGAAACGAGAAACACGTATGAACTACATAAACAGACGACAACTACTGTAATCAGATTCCTGACTTAGGACAGGTGCAAACATTTGCAGCGGGATTAAACGTTTTAATGGTACCAAACCTTCTCCCTTTTCTGAAACAATAGTATAACATCACAACATAGAAAAACACACTATAAAATATCAATTGGAAGGCTTAACTCAATCAAAAAACGTAAATTAACACACAATGAACGAATAAATTTGACCTGTGACACCTAAATGCAAATACACAGTTAATAAAAAATTACAAGGGATAAATAATTAAAGTCAAAAGTAAATAAATAGGTTTAAACAAGTATATTTAGCCGATCATGAGTATCCATACATTGTCAACTGAAATATTATTAAGCGGTAAACATTAATTTAAGACAGTAATTACATTTTAAGACATGATTGCAAGTTTACTTGTTTTGTTACATTTTACACAGAAAGACATCATCAAAAAGTTTGTACCCCAAAAAGTTATACGTGAGTTTACTTCCAATAAAATTTGGGCCAGGTTCATTATACGGCTCTCCCAACTTTCGGTTTGAAATGGGTTATTTTTGTAGGCAAGTTAAGGAATTCGCATTGGTCACTGTAAAAAAGGGGTATTTATATATTGTTTATTACACATTGTTACGTATCATTCAGATGAAATTAACCTTGAAAGATACAACATTGTATCGGCCAATGCACTATATTTTTAAAATTATCATGGTCATTTCACGGGTGTCGTTTTGTTCAACTTATATATTTATCTTTAAAGTCGGAAAAGACCAGTTAAACGACCAACATTGGAGCAAGCACACTGTGTCGGCGAAGAAATACCCCGGGTTTTGTCAACTTTGCCTTCTTTCAGTTATTCAGTTGTGTACTGTTTCATAAGCTATATTTAATTTGAGTTATTGTTGCTGTTAGAACTTGTTTATGAATTGTATTGTCACAAAGAATATAATGTTTTATTTATAATAATAAGAAATATGATGGTAAATTTTTTTTTACAGATTCTCGTTGATGTTGAATGGGGAGCTTTAGGGGATAATGGATGTTTAGACTTTTACAAGAATGAATTTGAAAGAGAAGTTAATAAGTTCTCTAATCACCCCAATTCATATACGTAAGTATTTAGGACCGTTTTTAGTAATCTTTAGAAACATTTTTCATACTTGTATGTAATTTATTGTTTAAAATAGGAAGTTACAAAAGGGCGAAAAAATATCATTGGCCAACAAAGTCGGCTAGAAAGAGTTTTACTCCAAAAAAGTTCCGGGAAAATGACTTTGTTAAGAGTATAGGATTATTATCAATACCATATTCATTGCGTTTGAATACCTTACTGGAAGTTAATATAATATACTGCATGTGTAAGAGCTGATTTCTGAAATCAGTGAAGTAACGCGAGTCTGGAGTTTACAATTTTACGCCTCATATCTTTGATGAGTTTATTTATGCTTACAAAACTTGGTTAAGGATGTTCGCTCCTCTTGTTTTTGAATTTTTGCCAGATTTTCGGAATCCTCTGGTTTTATCCATTTAGTGCCATTAAAAAAATTTGCCCACTAACCCCTACTTTTCTTTTCATCATTTTATTACATATAGTTTAAGGAGCCATATTTGAAAATCTTATAAAATCCTTGTTATTTTTTCATTGTTTTTGAAAGACAAAAGGTGTCAATGTTAAATTTAAGAAAAATCTAGAGAGAATCATTTCCCGCCAGATTTTCAATGGCTTATATCTCGAAAACAAGCACACGGACCCATCATTTTTTTCTGCTTTTTTAGTTCCTTTATTTATATACTATCAATTCAAAACAGTCTTTCAAAAAACTTGTTATTTTGAAACAGAGTAGCGAACATCCTTAAACAATTTATTTGTCTATTGTAGATTAGAAAAATCATTCAGTGGAATGTATATTGGTGAACTTGTTAGATTGTGTTTAGTAAAATTGATAGATAATAAAACACTTTTTAATGGAACATCTTCCAAAAAATTAGATACTCGATGGTCACTCAATGCAGAAAGTGTTGCTTCTATTGAAAGGTAAGTAACTATGTGCATACTAGTATCAGAAATGCCTGACATACATGTAGTTGGTCAATTTAAAAAGTGATATAACACACATGTATACAGAAAAGAAAAAAAATACAGTCTTACATGTACTTAAGATAACAGTAATGCATCTTGTAATATAACTAGCTGTTATTAGATTGAACTGATTGAAATAAATAATCACAATAAACATCAACTGGATGATTTATTCTCAATGCTTTACAACTTTGTACTTTAATTGGCCTATTTACTTTTTTCATTCCAGCATCACTGATATGTCTTTTGTAGGCAAAACATCTGTCTGGCGTACATAATTATAAGCCTGGTGTCACTAATTCTAATGCAACTATTTTGTTTCAATTGTTCTGATTGGTTGACAATCAGCGTAAAATTCTCTATCTCCCTCTATGTAACTAAGGGGAGCCGACATTTCAAATTTCTTAATGTATTGGCATGTAAATTTTCCAATAACAAACAAAAAAAACTCACATTTTGTACCTAGAAATCTTGTTTTTATCAAATCTTATCACATCCTGAGGCGGACATGTACAAAAGGCATAAAACGCCCGGTGTTTACGCCTGACACCAGAAGCATATCAATGTCGTCACCTAGATTAGGTGCAAAAGAAGATAACATCATTTTGCGGAATTTTCGTGTAATGAAAATTTTACACCGAAATAATGACTAAAGTTGAATGATTTGTTTATTTTGCATTAGAATAGAGATAACTGTATTATATTTGAATCTTGCGTACGTCCATCGGTAGTTTTACTGTCGCAAATATTCATTTATCTGTCTCCGCTACCGATGGACGTCCGCAAAGATACAAATACAATATAGTTATCTCTTAACTACGTTTTTTTCCACATCACCTTATTTTGATATATTAACTGTTAACTGAAATCATCATCTAACTAATATGAGACATTACCCAATGCTATCATATGATTTCAAGACTTAGTTTAAGTATGCATACAAAAGGTACAGATACCTTTGAGACGAGTACAAAATATCTATTGGTCAGTATTGATTGATTGGTGTTTAACGCCAATTTTAGCAATATTGCACTATTTCGTGAGGGTCAGTTTTTTTTGTGAAGGAAGTCGGAGAGAACCCACTGACCTTCGGTAGGAAAAATGTCAATCCCAGTCAATTAATATCAGAGTCGAACGCACCTGCCACATGCGGGATTCGAACTCACACTCTCAGTGTTGACAGGCTTGTGATACAGTAGTTGGACTACTAAGACCACTCGGCCATCGAGGCCTTCTAGAGGTTAGTAATCAGTCTTCAATTACCATATATTCATCTTCAGTTGCCGTTTGTTTCTTTGTCATGTAAGACTCCTGTCTCATTTACATATAACCTACATCCTGTTTGGTACATACATTGTATGCTCTTCAACATGTTAAAAGAGGAAAACATGAATATTTTAAGCCTATTAAGAATAATTACTTTTTGAAATATAAACTTTGATAAAACGTTGTGTTTGTTATTGAATGTAGCGAAACAGACGGCAGCAATAACAATACTCTGAAAGTTCTGAAGGAATTTAATTTACATGATGAAGACAATATTGCTACAGAAGAAGATATCGCTCTAGTCAAAGAAGTGTGTTACCTTGTGTCACAGAGAGGGGCATACATTGTAGCTTCAGGTAATTCATTTTATTTGCAAGCATTGTTTTATTGCCTCAAACCTCAAATATTCTTAATATGTGCTTGGTCAACACTCAACACTAATATGTAGGTTTGGAAGAGCGATTTATCTAAAGGAAAAGTTAGTGTTAATTTAATATGAAACTCAAAATTACGATCATAATTGACAAACATTTAGAAGTTGAGAATAGTCAAACTGTTCAAATGTGATTAAATCAAATATACAAAACAGAAATTTACGGTAAGTACAAATGACTTTGTTAATAAGGCATTGTTTAATATGATGCCTTTATTAAGACTTTGAATTCCAAATAATGCAGGTTAGACCAGAAATGCCATCTGAAAATGTCATTGCTTTTACTTGGAATAAACATCATAGATACCAGGATTAATTTTTTGTACGCCAGACGCGCGTTTCGTTCTACAACAGACTCAACAGTGACGCTCGAATAAAACAAAAGTTAAAAACGCCAAATGAAGTACAACGTTGATGAGCATTATGGGTCCAAAATTCTTACAAACCAAACTATGTTTTTTTTTCTTAGGGAAGAACATCCTTAGTATTTTCGAAAAATTCAAAGTTTAGAAAACAGTAACACTAGCAGTATGGGATTTTGTAGATGTATCAAAAACATTGATAAAGACCAGCATAATTATTGCTTACAAGTGTATTGTTTTATTTACATAGTTGGGACGTGCAATCAAAAAGTAATCTATACACTGTCTTATCCAAAACGTTTTCACTTAAGACTGAGTATTCCTAAGTTTTCCGAGGATATGCATCTGATATATATATATATATATATATATATATTATAGTTGATTTTAAGGTGTGCAAATTCTTATGCACCATATAAGTAAAAACGGAATCAACTATCATTTATCTTTAAACGTAATTTTACTCCGCATGTTTCAATTCGTTTCTTGGTCTGAAAGATTATTTTGGTTTTGTATTGCTAAACATGGTCTTTGTCATATCAGTACGCATCAACGGAACGGAAGTACTAATTTGTGAGCCCGAATTTGGATGCTAATTTGAGATTCTGTTCAGTGGAATTATGTTTTATTTTTTTATGCAGGGTCCTTTACTTTATCCATTGCTGTATTGTATATAACTTTTATATATTGTACAACCATTATTTCCTTTCTAAAATGAAGATATAAATAGAGAATAGGATTATGCAAATGTTGTAATATGCAGTGTGTTGAAAACTAATACCACTTTTTATTAGTATGCCCAGCATATAGATCAGTTAGGTCTTCCTTTGTGCCAAAATTTTATTATTCTTGGCAGTCAATGGCAACTTATGTACTTTTGTAGCATTAGCAGTGCTCTTAAAACGTATGGAGAAGAAGGAAATCTCAGTAGGTATTGATGGTTCCCTCTACGAACATCATCCCAACTACCATATACACATGATGGATGTATTAAACAGATTGTTGCCTGACGTAAAGGTAAACTTTACAAAGCTAATAAATGATTGTACTGTAATGGATATACATACATTCTTTTCTTTAAAATGATTGTACTGTAATGGATATACATACATTCTTTTCTTTATTAATTATTATTTACTGAACTGTTTCAAGTTCACAATCCTTGGACGTTTTTAAAGTTTGCTACTTGCTCCATTTAAACGCCTTCAAAACATATCAAAATAATTCGTGATTAAAATATTTGATGTCAGTCATGTCACATTTGTTTCTTATTGTCACATATTCAATACTCAAAATAGCAAAAAATGGATAAAACACGTTAAAAAAAGAATTTTAAAAGAAGAATTTTACTGTGACGACATTGCTGCTTTAGTTGATGGTCATTTAGTCTTTTTAAGAAAATAACCGAGGAAGCTTATTATCTTATTTTAGTTTCTAATAGACACCTGCAATTAGGGGTTGAGACTATTAATTTAAGATTGGGATAATGGAGAAGACTATTTATAGAAGTAGTAGTCATCTTTACATCATACTAGAAAACCAAAAATAGTGTAGTTATGTTAATGATTTCAATAACTTTGTATCTTATATTTTGTTTTTGGCTTCTTTCATTAAAGTGTACTTAAAGTTGCGCTAAACACAATCAACCAATCAATCAATATATCTGATATTTTGTTTCAGGTTAAGTTATTTCTTCTCAAGGAGGGCAGCGGAGAAGGTGCTGCCTTTGTAGCAGCTGTTGCCATGAAAGATTTGGAGAAACATCATTGATCTATGTATATCGTACACGACATTACTATGGAGGAACATCATTTATCTAAGCATTTCTGACAAAGATACACGACATTACTATGGAGGAACATCTTTTATCTAAGCATTTCTGACAAAGATACATGACATAACGATGAAAAAATTTCATTGATCTGTGTGTATCTGATGAAAATACTAATATCTAATTACATTGTAACGAAAAAAGGAAAGAAATTGTATGCGAAAAAATAATGGTGCCTTAATTAGAGGAATCCTTGAAGTTCAAACAATTGATAGTTCTTGTTCTGAGATTTGCTCAATTGTCAAACATGTTAGAATCTCAGGAAGTTTTCACATTACAAATATCCTATATCTCTTGCTTGTTCCGAGTCAGCTTTTCCCGCCATTTAAAAAAAACGATATCTTGAAAAGGAGTAACCAATTAATATGTTTAGCTTATTTTGTTCCTGTTGTTTTTCTCCTCTGTTGGGGCATAGGATAGAAAGAGTTCATATCGGATGTATAACATTTGGCTTCCGTAAACTTTTCACTTTTTGAACTTCAAAAATCTACTTGAGAACCACTTAAAAGGATCAATATATCAAACTGTTATTTTTCTCCATTGTTGAAGCATATGATAAAAAGATCATAAACATGTCATTTTTCATATCAGATGTGTTATCAGCCTTCGGTCAATATCAGTCCTCGAGCCTTTGGCTCTTTGGCTGATATTGAACTTTAGGTTGATAATATATCTGAAAAATGCCATGTAGTAATCTGATAAAATGTAATTGTACACTCACCTTCCGAATATAACCTCTTACAAATTATATTTATGAAATTTGTACAAGTGAAACCGATGAATTTACCTAATTCAAAAAGAGTATGAATTTGACTGTCTGAATTGCAGATTTGTGATATTTACACAATGTTTCAATTGGCAAAGAAAAATCATTTTATGTTTTAATAAATTAAAACATAACCTTATATGTGTTGAACAATACTGGTCCAATATCATTTTGTTTCTGCATTTCATATGGTCATGTTTGTCCTAAACTGTTTATGACGTCTTAACAATACATCTGTTTAATGTATATAACATATACTTATTGATATTTGTGTCTTGGAAAACAGGATTTATTCATTAATTTAAGTTGGATTTAGGGTAGCTTTCAGTAAATGCAAGTACTCTACGATTTGTTTTTTTTAACCGTTTGTCTTTTTGGTGTTTTGTTTGTTTATTGATGTACTACTTACCGATTTGAAAAGTCAAGCCCTAGCCAAATTATTTTTATCATCTAAAAAAGGTCTTTCAACCTTGACTTAAACTCCCAAAATCGCATCGTCGTTTATATTTAACAACATAATGGCGTATTTCTGAATATTTTAGCGAAATACAAAAGACAGACACACGATATAATGGCTCAATACAGCACTATTGATGTATGTTGACACAGATTTAGTGCTAGTATTTAAAACAATCACAAACCTGTTTGTGCATTTTTTATCGTTATTCAACGCAAAATAATTATGTAAGATAACTGGGACGATCTCATTTTATACATGATCTTTTTTGTTTACTTATTGTACCTCGAACTTATTAACCCGGTGTGGAGGTCTTAAGGTTAGGCTACTATTTACAAAATAAGTCCATATCTCATTTACTTATAAATCGTGACCGTTATTTATTGTAAATTCATGTTTTTGTCATTCGTCTACCGTGGAGAAAAAAGGGGAGGGGGGACTAATAGCTTAACTTGCGATTTTGATCATGGTTCAACTTTATTCTAGTACGGCATACGTTTTATCTATAGCCAACGCTCTATCTTAATAAAGTGTCAGTCTAAAATTGTTATCATTTGCTTCAGGTCGATCCAGTTTGCATCTCGTCGTGAATATGCATGACATATTTGCCATTGGACGTTAATGAATAATCAATGTATAAGCTTTATTTAGTGATGTATGATCATTAGTCTTCAGTTCATAATTTTCTCAAACAGTTTTTCAATTTTCATATATTTGATTATATATTTGATTTTTTAAGCGAGGGTTTTAGTAGAAATGACACTTTTGAATTAGTATTTACATGGATAGGTTTGAAAACGTCTATAATAGGAGATCCTTCATATGAAAAAACGTTATTTTTTTTTTAATCGATTCGGTTTTATCTGAAATATAAGATTTATGGTGGTAACTAAACATTCACCTGAATATTATATACAACTCAATAAACGGTAGCTTAGTTCGGATTTTAAATTGTACCAATGCTAAAATACAAATGCCGAATGGTAGAAGGGCGACAAACAATGGGATTGATTTATAATATGGTGTTTGAAGATCAAGAATGGAATCATAGTTAAATAGTGTTAAGACTTTTGATGTTTTATGATTTTATTTTAGATTTTTTTTCACCAATAGCAAGAAGATCTGCAATTAACGTAAATTTCAGCATTTCTTTCCTCATCCTTCTCTTTACATTTAATTTTTTGTTATCATTAAATAACGTTGTCCACATCAGGGGTTACATTGTATCCTATCCAGCCAAACTAGGGAGAGGGGGGTAGAACAGAAAAAAAAATCTTCATTGAGTGGCAATTACTCATATATTAAAGCGTACAACGATGGCAGTCTCGTCTATGTGAAGAAAAAAAAATGATGTTTCAAGTCATTTTTATCTTGTATAGTTGTCAAAAAAGCAAAAATGGATAATTTATGTTTTAAAAGGCAATTTATGTAAGGATTCAAATTATTTTGACCATTTCATTTATTTTTTAGAAATTGTCTTACTCAGTAAATGATCGTTTTTTTTGTTTTTTTGTTTTTTTTTTTTTATTTAAAGTTTTTCTTCATCTACAATTGACTTTGCAAAAGGCGAAAAAAATGTGTTAAAACCAGCCATGCGACTTATTTGAAGATTAAGCTGACCTTTGTTTGTTGTTTGACTTGTGCGTAGATCGTATTTCTTCCTCAAAGAATTATTCAAATGGTTCTTTAACGTATATATAGCGTGAAACTCTCACTGCACGAATCATCGGATATACGACACATCTATTTCGACCGAACGTAGCTGCGTATTTATACATCCGAACAGCCAAACGGACGCACCCCTTAGCAAGGGTATACTGTCCGACAGGAGAAGTCCAGAGATGTCAATATCTCTATACCCAAGTCAATCCTTTGGTTTTGAATAAAAGGAGATAGAGGTATTCATTAATGGGACAGCAACCCAACGACACAGACAAATCCAAACATTAAGAGTCAACATAGAGTTTTTGGCACTCATACCACATCTTCTTATATCTATTTTTTAATAGAAAGATGCCTATACAGAATAATAAACTCAAAACCGCCCCATTACCAAAAATTTACGGAGTTAATTTAATTATATTTACCGTCAAAGATATCTCAACATGCACATGTAATTTAATATTATTTACCGTCAAAGATATCCCACAAGTATGTGGTTGAAAAATATCACTTGCCCTTTTTTAATCTAGATCAGTGGACATTAAAGAAGGTGTAATATAAAACAGTAAAAGAAAAACACTTCACTTTGTACATGTTGTAGTAACGGTAAAATAAATGGTGATAATGGATGGCTGCTAAACGTCCAGCGGCAAATTAAATGCATATTAAGGACAACAACTTGTAAGTATAATATGAATATTAACCCTGCTTTGTACTAGACCGACACGCTGAGCCGGATTTTTAACGTGTAAGTTCACATGGTAACCGTTTGCAGGAAGAAAAGTCACCCTACCCGGACACATTTCTGACTCCGAGCCGATCAGTCTTTGCTCTTACTCTTGAATGCCGCGTGTTTAGCTTTGAAACAGCATATATCAATTTTAACGTCTTTGTTGGACCCAGTCTGGATTCGAACCAACGACCCTCCGCTCTCGATGCGAACACGCTCCCACGAGACCAACCAGGAGGTCGGTAGTATAGAATATCATACCAAAAACTCAAGTACAAAAACAATACAGTTTCACAGAATTCTCACACTTACCAAAGCGATCTAAAAGTATCTAACCTAAGTTAGATACTTTAAATGATTTTGGAAACAACACGTAAATATCGATGTGCGACTTCAGAGTAGATTTCATCGATCAACGCTCTCTGCAAATTAAAAAATTCTGCACCAATTATTTGAGGGGTCCGGATGTGGCCAGCTGTTACAAGGCTAAATTTCTGTCCTTATCCAATATACCCTCATTTTCGAGTGGTAATCCAAGTTTCGTGTCCAACCTCACTGTCGACCTCCTATTGCAAGAAATTCCTATTGTATTTAAAATTATGAAATATTTGTCACTGGACGTAAAGCAAAACACAAACAATCAACTTCATAAATTATTCCATGTACATAGTACACGAAGACAATATCTTGTACAATGCTATAATATAAAATTTAAATCACTCAATATAAGTGCAAATTTTTTCATTTTTGTGTTATATTTTTGCAATTTACTACAGGACTAAACACTTTTAATTTTTTTTAAATATTTTTTACTATGGTTCTTATCTACTGTTTTACTACAATTTATAATATATGATCATGTTAGGCAATTTTAAAACCATGAAAGGTAAGTTTTTTTGCAAGGGGTTTATGCTTCATTTTGACTTGTTAATGGGAATGACGGACGACTAAAATAAAGGGGTTGGATTTTATATATATATCTATTGCATTTTAATTTAAGAATGATGATCAACCTTGCGAAAATATCTCATCTATACATGTTTTGATCTAGCCACACACACCTACACTGTACGTAACTTGATTCTAAAGATGATACATTTAGGCTATTTAAATACGATGTTATTCATTGAAGTTAACTGGTATAGTTTTTATTTAAAAAAAAAAAAAAAAAAAAAATTATTAATTAATTGGACTGATCAGACAATACTAATTATTTTGCATTTGTATGTTACGTAGTGTAGGAAAATTACAGACTCAAAACCAAAATGAACTTTTTCCTGAATGTTGTGAAGGGCCTTAAGCATCAAGGTCTGTTTGATTAGAAGTTGTGACACAAGCTGTTTATATTACTAATTGATGGACGAGTTTACTTACTGTTTTCATATGGTTTGGTCTTTACGAATCTATTTCATGCTTACTGACAGTTTAAAAACATTAAATATATATAACAAGAAGTTTTTGTGCAGTACATTCATTGGTAAGTTGTAAGTGAGGTTTGTATATAGGTTTTTGATTTACTCATTTATAAAATAAATAATCTTTATTTTGAAAAGTTGGAATTCAAAAATATAAATGTGCCCCTTAATTTTATAAAAAATAACCTATGGTGTTATTTTAATGCTAAAAAATATAATAATTAAATGATTAAATGATGTACTGCCATTTAATCGGTCCGTTT